TGACAAGGGAGGATAGAAGGAGAATTGATGCCTTTGAGATTTGGTGTTGGAGATGAGTATTGAGGGTACCATGGACTGCTAAGAAAACAGATTCATCCTGGAGAGGAATAAACTGGGATGCTCCTTGGAGACAGGGATTCTGAGGCTTCGTTTGACATTGTTTGATATGGTCATGTTGTAAGGAGAGACCAGTCCTTGGTCCTTGGGTAAGGACTTCATGCTTGGGAGGGTGGAGGGCAGGCACAGGAGGCGAAGGCCCTCTAGGAGATGGATTGATTCGGTGACTGGGTTAATAGTGATGGGTGTGTCGGAGACAGTGAGATTGGCACAGGACAGAGCAGAGTTTAGGGCTGTTGTAGATAAGGTCGCTATGAGCCGCAAGCACTTGGCACATAACAACAACAAACCTATTTATGGGCTGGAATCCAGGTTGGAAGTCATCTGGGACAGCCAGATTCTACAGAGGTTTTTTTCTGGTTCTGGTGAGGATTAGGGTGGAATGTTGACTCACTGTTGGTTGTGAGTTGATTGTATTCAGCCTCCTATTTGAAAATGCATTTGGTCAGTAGTATGGGGCTGGAATCTGAAATAGTTTGCCTCTAGAAGCTCTATAAATGTGGAGAAATGATGAAAGTTATACAAGTGGCCAGGTCTTGTGTTCATAGGGTCGCTATGAGTAGTCTACGACTCGATGGCACCTAACATGCCTATATATAGGACATGTGTATAGTTCCTTTCGCCTCTCCATACTTGCTCAACTTGACTGTCTGCTGAAGGTGATAGCCTGATTTTTAGCCAAAAGTGCTTCAAGCCATTTTCACTTTCCACAAGTAAGATTATATCACCACTATATCACAAATTGTGAAACAATCTTCCTCCAATCCTGATACCACAGTCATTTTCATATAGTTCAGTTTCTTCAATTATTTGCTCAAGACATAGAATGAATAAATATGCCAAAACAATACAATTCTGATCTAGAGCTTTCATAATTTTAAATACTTTAGTATCCTCTTGGCCTATGTACAGTTTTCTCATAAGTGTTCTGGATTGCCATTATTTGCAATGTTATCGATGATGAATTTGCATAGTCAATAAAATACAGGTAAATGGATTTTTTTCTGGCATTATTTGCTCTTGGCCAGCTATGATATTCCAAGATCAACAATGATATCTATCCTTCCATGTGCTCTTCCGAATTTGGTTTTTAAGTGTTGTGGTTGTTTTTTGTTTTTTTTTGAGGTGTTGTTATTTCTTTTAATTAATACAAGTCACATCACTTCACTGTTATTGCAAATAAATTAAGAGACAACAATTCTAGAGGTCTCCACAATACTTTATCACCCACAAAAATAATAGAAAAGGATGAAGCCTTTCACCATCTCAGCCTTTGGTTTTCTTTTGATCTCTGCCACCCACATAAGCATGTACTTCCAAAATGGAACTCCATCTTCAGATCTTACACTAGTTGGGAATCTAATTTATTAGCTTCTATTAATAACAGAGCAAAGGGATCCCTGAATTAGCTGAGGAACCTGGATAAATCTTTAATTTCTACTTCATTTCAAGGCCCATGCTTTCTTTAAAAAGCTGCAAGCAAATGAGGTAGAAAGGGCAGAGGCACAAAATGGAAACCAGTGGAAGGGCCAACAGTATGACTCCCAAACCACCAATGGACAACCAGCCTCCCAGAGCTGAAAATGCAAAAAGCAGTGTGACTCCCAAGTAGCTGTGAGGAGTCTATGCCTTTAGCTTCTTCTCCAGCATGGACCACAGGGCAAAGATCTGGATGGCAAAGGTAACTATGATGAAAGCACATAGGGACCAGGGCAGGTGCGAGGTCAGGCAGACACAAGCAAAGACGGGCATGTTCAAGTACAGTGTGCTGGATACTATGGCAGCATTGGCACCATAGTTGATGAAGATGAGGTGGCCTAGCAGCATGAAGACTGACATGGCATAGATGGTGTCAGGGTCTTCAGCACTAGTGAGAAGCCACACATAAGGAGAAAAGTGCAACAATGAATGAATGGAATTCCAAAAATCTCTGTAGATGTTCACTGAAATTAATAATAATAATAAAAAAATTACGATAAAAAAAAGTGATGAAAACCAGCACACTTTTCAGGTCTGCCCACTGGGTCTGCCCCACTCTTTTTGCACCCTTCACCTCCATCAATGAAATCAAACAAAGCATACCCAGTGAGGAAGCTAGGCCTGTCCCAAAAAGCCACTGAGGGGCCAGGGGACCCTTGTCCATATACCACCAGATAACCACAAAAACACACACTGCACAGCTACTGAATCACCACACTGGACTCAGACTCTAATCTTGTTATTTACTGGCATAGATGCTTTTTTGAAGCGCTTCCAGGGAACAGCCGAAACACATAATTATCAGGAAAGGGCTGTCGCTCATTTAAGACCTTCTGCTACCTGGCCTCCTTGGTGTTAGTTTCTGGCTGGTAAACAAACAAATTATTGTTCCCCAAAACTCAGGCCTGTTCTATCTCCCCAGAAGAAGTCCAGGTGGTCCTGGCTCTATTTGAAGTTTTGAAATAAGTCTTCTCTGGCAATTGCATGCTGTGCTGTAGTTGATAGTCTACTGACCTTTCTTTGCTTCCAAAGGCAGCAACCCAGGCCAGGCCTGCAATAGATGGGTTTGTTCACTGAGGCAGGGCAACACTCCAATTTCCAGCACGCTGGTTCCCAGGGGTGCGAGGCCAGGGGGAGTTGGCCACGCACCTCCTTCCTCATCTAGGGCGACCTGAATCTGGGTTTGGGGTTTTGTTTGTTTGTTTGTTTTGTTTGTTTTTTCTTTTAATTTCTGGAAGTTCCCTGTACTGTCAGGTACATACAGGTCACCTGAAAATGTTTTGAATTATCATATGCAAACTTGACCTATGTGCTACATAATTCAGTAATTTTACATTATAGTGGATCATCTTTTTTTGAAACACCTTCCATTGATCTGTTGGTTGGCTGGATAACTGTCTTCTGAATTTCTTGGAATAGATGAGTTAATCCTTCCAGCATTACATCCATTTGTGGAAATATCTCATCTGGCATTCTATTAATTTTCTGGACATTTATTTTTCCCCAAAATTTTCAGTGTGCTCCAATTTCTTCCTTCCATACCTTGAATACCATTGGTTCTTGATCATACAATACCTCCTAAAATGTCTGAATGCCAACTAAGTCTTTGTGGTACCATGACTGTGTATTCCTTTCATCTTTTTTTTGGTGCTTCCTGAATTTAGATTTCGCTTTATTTGCCTCCCCCTGAAGAATGTATGCAGCATTCTTCTAAATCTAAACACAACTTCTAAATATCACTAAAACTAAATGTGTATGTTCAGTACAACCTACATTTTTTTGAGTATTTAAACGTGTTAAGGACTCAGAGACCTGAATAAAAAAGCTGTTTTCACACTTTTACTTTGTGTCAATTGTTTAATCAGGTGGTTTTTACCCTAAATTAGATAAATTTTACTGAATAAAAATGGTGAACTTAGAAAAAATGAGAGCAGAGAGTCAGGCTTTAAGGTTGAGGTCCTTGGGAACAGTTCATCAGATGCAGAACTAGTTGAAAGGATCTCAGGGAAATGTGAAACTGAGAAATGAAGAAGGCAGAAATGAAGTATAGCAATAAAGACACGACCTGGATACAACCACAGGCTGTTTCATAACTATCCTTAGAATGGAATAGCAACAGGATCAGGAGATAATGCTCTCCTCCCTTTCTGGGCTAGACCAATGAACTATGCATATCGAGAATTCACACTGGTGAAATTACCACAATCCTCACTGATTTAAAATAAAGTTTGCTTCCGTGAGTTTGGGCTGAAAACTCAATCAAGAAGCTATTAATAGTAATAATCTTTCTCTCTGACAAAAGGAATGTGTTTGAAAATGAAGATGGAGGGAGATCTTAACTTTGTATGGGATGTTTGAAATATATGCCATGAAACCATATTGATGAATAACTGGTCTAATTTTTAAATAAATAAGATTCAAAAACTAGCCCTAATATACAAGTAAAGTTTAAAATAAGAGCCATTTAGATGCCAGGGACTGCTCATAGAAATGCTCCTCTCTAACATGCCCTTGCCACTTGCCACTTTGGAAGGTACAGGGCATCTCTAAGATCCTCAGCCACCTTTAACAGAACATTTGCACCTATGATTTTGATTTAGACACCCATGTTTTATTTTGTGGCTTAGAAAAAAACACAGCAGAACATATACCATTTCAATAGTTTCTATATTGACAATTCAGTGACTTTGTGCAACTATTCTTTCCCTTTTTCTCCCGAGTTGTCCCTCCATCATTAGTATAAATTCAGTGCCCCCTAAAGTTCCTGTCTAGTCTTTCAAGTTACTACTGTCCGTTACTACTGTCCTATATGGTTCACAGTGCCCATGGAAGGCATTTTTACTAGTTAAGCTTAAACTATGGTTTGAGTTTAAGAAGATATCAGAGGACGTTTCTAAGTTTTAAAAATTTCCTTAGAGCTGGATTTAATAGATTTATTCTTTGCTGAATGTTTTATGACCTTGATAGAAAAAAAGTCCATTCCATATCCAAGCCTCTGTTTATGCTATCCCACTCCAACTAGAATTCTCTCATCTGTATTACTCATGCATATGAGTCCAGCTCACATTTCACAGTAAATTTTATTTTCCTTTAATATGTGAAGCTACCATCACTATTGCTAGCTTCCTTACCACTTACCTACAGCACTTATCTTGATTTTACCAGTTTACTGCATTGATCCTAAAATATATACAAGATAGAAACCCAGATAATTTCTACCTCTTTTTATTTTCCCAAACAATTGTCTATAGGTTTGTACAACTGTTTTTCAATAAGCACTCAATTATTTATTAATTTCTAGAAATTATTTTCTTTTTATTTTCATTATTCATTTGTACATGCCTAATAAAAACCCTGTTTGAGGCATATTTCAATGCACTAAGTATTCCCATCCTTTAACTTACCAGCATTGTATTCACAGAATGGACTATCACCTCAACATATGGCGTCAGGATGTTAAAGAGGAATCCTGGTGCTAGTAGATGGCGATGCTGGAACCACTTGGGTCCATCGAGAGTTAATAGCCCTTGTCCTTGAAAAAGAAAAGAGAAAACCTCATGCTATTCTATCAGATAACATACAGGAAAGATGAAGAACATAGATATCATAGAAGGATTATAATGCACAAGTAGCTGTGAAATACCAGAATAGTGATGATATATTTAAGACTAAGGTGAACTTTATCTGGTGGCTTAGTGGTAAGAGCTGCACCGCCAACCAAAAGGCACACAGTTCGAATCCACCAACTACTCTGCAGGAGAAAGATGGATAATCAATTCCTGTGTGGTTTACTGTCTCTGAAAGCCTGCTGGAGGGTCAGGTATGGGTTGGTTCTGACTCAACAGTACACAACAAAACCAAGGTAAACTCTATGTTTGTATCAGACATGGTTATATTAACATTGTGAGAAATATCCCAAGTTTTGAAATCTGATAAAATATCAGTGCTAATCCTGAAATCAATTATTATAATCAAAGAGGAAAAAACTTGATACTAGATACCTTGCTTTGATTTGGGAGTTTTCTTCTTATTGTTGTTATGTACCACTGAGTCGACTACAACTCATGCACAGTATATAAACACAATAGTTCTGAACCCTGCTCTATCTTACTGTCTCTGACATACCTCATTACCCCACCTATTGTGTCAGTCCATCTCATCTGAGGTCTTCCTCTCCTGTGCTGCTCCTCGATCCTTCCAAGCATGATATCCTTCTCCAAAGACTGGATTCTTATGGTTATATGCCCAAAGTACGTGAGACAGTGTCTCAAAATCCTTACTTCAAAGGAGCAGCTTGGCTTTACCTTCTCCAGGACAGACCTGCTAGTTCTCTTGGCAGTTCATGTTATGTCCAATACTCTTCTCCAGCAGCACAACTCAAAGGCATCAATTCTTCCACCAGATGCTCTACCGGGGAAGGAGGGACAATCTCCTCCTGTACCAGTCAGATCTGATTTGATGGTACACTCACACAAAAATAATAAAACAAAAAAAGTTTTTTTTTTAAAAAGCCATCAATTCTTCTGTCATATTTGGTTATTCTCGAGCCTTGATGCATAGCAAGCTACTGTGAAGACCATAGCCTGGGTCAGGTGCAACATAATCTCCAGACTGACATCCTTGCTTTTTAGCACTCTAGAGAGGTCTCTGACACCAGATTTTCCTAATGTAATTTATATTCATTTATATTTATTTTAGATAATGTAATTTATCTTTTAATTTCTGACTGCTGGTGCCAGGATTGTTGATTGTGAAACCAAGCAAGCTGAAATTGTAAACAATCTCAAGCTTTTCTCTGTGTAACATGGTGCTGCCAACTGGCCCAGTGGTGAGAATCTTCATTTTCTTGATGTTGAGCTTCAATCCATGTTGCAAACTACAGTACTTGACTCTCTGCACCAAATGTTTCAGATCTTCCTCAGTTTTGTTTTGCTTTGTGGGTTGTTCTTGGTTTGTTGGTTTTGGTTTTTTTTTTTAAATACAGGTAATATTTATTTTTGTTTACCTGATGAAATCAAGCCTGTAGTCCCACTTTACATACAAGGTAAATTTTTAACATGTCAGGTTGTGTCATCATCACCTGCAAAACATAGGTCTTTAATGAGTCTTCCTTCAATCCTGGTGCCACTATTTTCCTCATAAAGTCCAGCCTCTTGAATTATATGTTTTGCATACAGATTAAAAAGATATGGAGAAAGGACACATCTCTGAGTCACTCCTTTTCTGATTTTGAATAATGCTGTGTTTTCTTGCTCTGCCTCCTGTTCCAAGTATAGGTTTTACATGAGGACAATCAGGTGTTCTGGCATTCCCATTCTTTTAAGGTTAGCCACAATTTGTTGTGATCCACACAGTCAAATGCCTTTGCATAGTCAATGAAACAAAGATAGACATTCCTCTGGTACCCTCTGCTTTTGGCCAAGATCCATCTAACATTGGTGCCACAGCCTCTTCTAAATCCAGCTTGTATTATCTGGGAGTTATCTGTCAATGTACCGTTTCCATTGTTTTTGGATTATCTTCAGCAGGACTTAGTTTGTATGTGATATTAGTGATATTGTTTGGTAATTTTCACACTGTTGGATGGATCATCATCATCTTTTTTTGGAATGGGAATAAATATAGATCTCTTCTAGTCAGCTGGCTATGTGATTGTCCTCCAGATTTCCTGGCACAGCCAGGTGAGCATTTCCAGGGCTGCATCTGTCTTTCGAAATATATCAAATGATATTCCATCAATTCCTGGGGCTTTGCTTTTTGCCAATTCCTTCAGAATAGCTTGCGCTTCCTTCATCACTGTTGCCTCTTGAACTTAAGTTGTTTCATGAAATACTTCTGTGTGGGCCAGCTCTTTTTGGTACAGTGACTAAATGTACTCCTTCCATCTTCTTTTGATGTTTCCTAGATTATTCAATATTCTTCCCATAACAACCTTAAGTATTGCTATGCAAGGCTTGAATTTGTTCTTCTGTTCCTTTAGTTTAAGATATGCTGAGAGAATTTGACCAAAATAAATTGTTCAAACATAAAGAAATATCAGATCAAAATTAATTCAGGAATTGCTTTTCTTTTACCGTAAATTGCAAATCCCTTTTATCCCCTCGTTGGAAGTCAGTTTTAATAAATTTAAATTTAAAAAAATATGTTTGACTGTAAGGGCAGAGACCACTGAGTGCTCACACAGAATCATGAGCCGTGGTCCCTTCTGGTAAATGTATGTTGTTGTTGTTTTTATGTGCTGTTGAGTCTCCTGTGACTCACAGTGCCCTCATGCACAATAGCTCTGAACCCTGCCCTGTCCTTAGCCAGTCTCACTGTCTCAAATACACCTTCCCCCATTATTTCAGTTATTGTGCCAATCCATCTCTTCCAGAGTCTTCCCCTCTAGCTCTGTCCCTCCACCCTTCCAAGTATGATGCCCTTCTCCAAGGACTGGTCCCTTCTGGTAACATGCCTGAAGTATGTGAAATGGAGCTTCAAAAGTTTTGCCTCTAAGGAGCAACTTGATTGCTTTCCTTCTCCGGGACAAATTTGTTATATTTGTAGATCCTGGATAGTTCAAGTCTTTTCTCTAGAAATACAACTCAAAAGTTATCAATTCTCCTTCTGTCATCCTTAGTCATTCATTGTCCAGCTCTCTGATGCACAGCAAGTAATGGCAAAGACCACAGTCTGGATCAGGGACACCTTAGTCTTCAGATTGACATCGTTGCACTTTAGCAATCTGGAGAGTTCCCTGATAGCAGATTTTCCCAATGTAATTAGTCTTTTGATTTCCTGACTGTTGGTGCCAAGAAAGTTATTGTGGGACTAAGCAAGCTGAAATTATTAAGCATCTCAATCTTCTCTCCAGTTATAATGATGCGGCCAATTGGCCCAGTGGGAAGAATCATTGTCTTCTTCATATTGAGCTTCAATTTATAATGAAAATCTCAATAATGTACCTTCTGCAGCAAACACTTCAAGCCCTCCTAATTTTTGGCAAGCAAGGTTGATTCATCTGCATAACGCAGACTGTTGAAGAATCTTCCTCCAATTCTAACGCCACACTCCTCATAAAGCCTGGCTTCCCAAATTATTTGTTCCACATATAGATTGAAAAAGTATGGAGACAAGACATATCCCTGATGCACTCCTTTCCTGATTTTGAACCATGCAACGTTTCCTTGCTCTCTTCTGACGACTGTTTCTTAGTCCAACTGTAGGTTTCTCACAGTCTGGTGTTCTGAAATTCCCATTCTTCTCAATATTAGTCAGTTTGTGTATAAATATAGCTGTCTGAAAGTAGAGTCCTGACATAAGTCTAACATTCATATTGAAATGTAAAGTTGCCTTTTCTAACAGTAAATCATCTAACCTTATTGTTGATCTAACTATAAGTCTTAATGGAGACATTCTTTTTCTTTGAGGCTTGGCAAGTGGAGGATTGCATAATATATTCCCAGAGAGTTTTCCTATCGGGTCAAAGTGATACAAGATATGTTAGCAGATGCCTAAAGAGTCCTGATGCCCAGCATGAATGAGAAATCTTTACAATGAACTCTCAGAAACCAATATGGGTTGAGAAAGCATTTTTAATAGTAGATTAACAAGGGGAGGACCCCATATCTTGTCATTGTTCTGTGACTATCCTTATAATAAATGGAAGAGTGGGCACAGTTACATACCCTTAAACAATTATATAACTCCACATAAATGTTATTCACAGATCCCTGTGACGTGTCTGCTTTTGGGCTTTGACTCTCCTAATTGTCTTTCTGCCACATGTAATTTTGTGTTTTTAATTTCCTGCTCCACCTGTACAAAACATTTTCTTCTTCATTGTCCAGTAGTGAGAGCATCTTCATTATGTGAAATTTGGCATCTTTTAGCTTGGGATCATCACTATCCTGCTCTCTTGTTTTTACTTTAAGTAGACTTTATGAAGTTGCTTTATGACAAGCACTAGATATTACAGTAATTCCTGAAACCATGTGTCTCATTTAATCCTTACACTATCCCAGATATGTGACTATCATCATAATATTCAGAGCTAAGTTAAGGAAATTGAGTGATTGAGCACCTTCTCCAAAATCGCCCTCAACTAGTCAGGACAGAAGAGGAAAAGAAGACTATGATATGATTTACATATAAGTGGCTCTGAATTCAAAACTATAGATTTTTTTTTCTCCCCTAACATACTACTTTTATTTAACTACTGGGCTCAATCTACGTGTTCAATGAATACTTCTAAACTATTCTTTAGAGCAAAGTATTAGTGATTGTGTTCATTCAGAAACTTGATGGAGGATCTCATGATTGGAATGGACATGCGTGCAGTGAATTTTAGCTTTATAATCTCCTTTGTCCAAAATAAAGACTCATTTTTCTAAGGCAATACTTCTTGATTGGACCTAAATGTTAGGCCTTTAAAACAAATAATAGCATCAGTTACTAGCTCTGAAGGCTTAGAATTTTTTTATAGTTTTGTTCTTAGCATTAATTTTTATGAGCTTTTAGGCTTCTGGGACTTAAATATTTGTAAGCATGGAAATTGTACATTTTCTCTCTGAAAATTAGGCTAATGAAGTAAGGTATGGTTCAAGTTCTGCATATGAAACACATTTTTCTATTAAAATTGTTGTTATGTGCCATTGAGTCTCTTGTGACTCATAGCAACCCTATGTACAACAGCCCTGAACCCTGCTCTATCTCTTGCCAACCTTGTCATCTCTGTCACACCTATCCCCATTACTCCAGTGACAGAATCAATTCATCTCATTGAGGGTCTTCCTCTCCTGCACTATCTCTCCTCCTTCCCAAGCATGACGTCTCTCTCCAAGGACTCAGACGGAGCTTCAGAATGCTTGCCTCCAAGGAGCAGCCTGGCTTCACCCTCTCTAGTACAAACTTGTTCATTCTCCCGGCAGTCCATGGTATATTCAATACTCTTCTCCAGTACCAAAGCTTAAAGGCATCAATTCTCCTTCTGTCATCCCTAGTCATTGTCCAACTTTCTGATGCATAGCAAGTAACGGCAAAAATTACCAAAAAAATTAAAAAAAGATTGTCCAAAGTTTAATCTTCCAATTTTCTCCTTTTTCCTTTTTCTAAGCTTCTTAGTAACCAGCCGACTTTGAGATATTATACTTTTTTAAAAAATAAGAGTGACCTACATACATGCACATAGAATAACTGCTCAGAATAAACATAAAGTTTCTTTTTTTAGTTATGTATTTTTAACTCTTTATACTTCCCTTTTAGCCTTTCCTTTAAATATCTTTCAGTCTAAAGCTACTTTAGCTTAAATAGTTGAATTCAAATTTGAGCTGCTTTAGAGTGCTTTCCTGTAGAATGAAGACATTTTTAGGCAAGAGTAGAAATCAATTTTTATTTGAGTGGTGTGTCTCATTTGCACATACATACCAACACATGAGCTCAAGAACCTGTTTGGGAACTGGGACTTGGGATCTGCAGGAAATAAAAGACAGCAATATGAGAAGGAAATGATTAGTTAGTGTTGGCATTTGCCTAGACTAATTACAAATAATGAACATAAGGAAGTCCAACGCTTACTTCCTGTAGCTGTTGGGAAACTCAGGTTGTGGACTAGGGGCTAGAGAACAGTAATCCCTGTAGGGCTGAGAGGCAAATAAACCCAGATCCTCCCTTTATTTACATTCTTTCCAACAGAAACAGAGGTTTCCAGAGGGTTGCAATGTTTCTAACGTAAAAGTTCTTATAAGTTGGCCACCAAGTTAATTCTGATTCACAGTGACCCCAGTTGTTATAGAGTAGAAGTGCCTCATAGGACTCTAGAGACATAGTCAATAATGTATTGTGCTGCTAATCAAAAGGCAATTTGAATCTCTGGCAGTTTGAATCTACCAGCTGCTCCTCAGGAGAAAAACAGGCAGTCTTGTTTTGTTAAGATTTGCAGTCTTGGAAATTCAATGGCAAAATGCTATGAATCAGAACCAATTTATGGCAGTGAGTGTGAGTTTTTAATCTTAATGGAAGGAAATCATCAGAACTTTCCTTGCATGGTCTGCTGGATAGATTCAAACTGCCAAGCTTTACACTACCAATCACACACAAACTGTTTGAACCACCAAAAAGTATATCATATTCTTTTGGAAAACAAATTAAAGCTGAGGCCATTAGGCACTAGAGAGTAGAATACAAATGCATCTTTAGGTCTGGTAGACCTAAACCTGGTAATGTCTGGTGGACCTAAACCTGGCAATGTGGCATAGCTCTTGTTCTTCAAAAGGTAAATATGAACCCATCTTACTCAGTGTCTCCCTAACCCCAAGGACAGTCCCATTCTACAACAGTGGCATCATGTAATATTTATCCTTTTGTGACTTGGATATTTCACTCAGCATAATGTTCTCCAGAGTCAACCATTTTGAATAATATTGCATGAGTTCAATAATGTATACTGCACTGAA